TTTTTTTAAAAAATAAAAGTCAATTAAAAATCTTTAACAGAGATAGAGAGGGGCTTTGTCTCTCGGCAAGCACAAAGGGCCCACGGGAAGGTGATGATCTGCGGGGTACTTGAAACCATGCCGTTTGTGGGCGTGATGTTATAGTCAAGCAGACAAAGCTGCGTCTATGAAGCGCGCTGACATGCTTTCATACGTGCAGATTCCTTTCAAGAGAACACCAGCCAAACTCCAGGCACCTAACAATGTCCTCTCACGTGCATCTAATTCCGACGCTGGTTACAGGAGAAGAAAGACTATTCTCTCTGCTCTTCCCAGACCGTCTCACCCTCTTTAATGTCTCCTGAGAAACAGTCATGATGTTTGCTGTGGAAATCATCGCTTCGGTATCCACAATAAAGGGGATCAATATGGCATCTGACGAGTTTTCTACAGGAGACTCTCTTCCGCTCGCGCCAACCGCCAGGGCTGCAGACGGTCGCCGTCAGGGGTGGCCCTGCCTGTGCCGTTTTTGGTGATTTCTGAAAGATGTTGATACTATGGGCAGGAGGTGCTGCATAATCACTAAGTTTGTCCTTGAAGTGACTATAGAAACTTGGGGAAAATCGCATGGCTATCGGTAAGTATGACAATAGGCTTTAAATGCCTGAAAATATATAAAACACCTGTCATTTCTAGCTGTTCGGGTTTTTTTCCTTAGAATTGCGAAGAAATAAAGGGTGTCCAACAACACGCATTTCGGTGGGTGCCTGGGTTTTCATGTGCCTCAAGACATGTTTTCCTTGGGCTCTGTCTTTGGATTTGTAATTGTTACCCCATAAATCAGAAAACGTTTAACAAAACAAAAACCTCTAAGCCACGCTCGGTCGTCTCTCCGAGGTCTGACCCTTCTCCATAAATCTCCCAGACGTCCAGGGACGCCGTGCAGATGTTCACACAAGCAACGCCCAACCCCCTCACCTCTGAGTCTGGCCCTGAACAAACCTGGGAGATGACTCACTCTGTGGTTATAGCCTCATAGAACCCAACTCCCGCTGAGATGAAAGTCCACCCCGAGTGACTGCTTTTTGCCATGTATCCTCCAAACCAAATGGGAAGGAAGTCAGTGAGCGAGTTCCAGCCCCCAAAGAAAGATGGGCGTGCACGCTCCCGACAGGTGGGCGGGCTGTCACCGAGCCTGCCACCATCAGATGCAAGGTGCGAAGGTGACCGCATGCCAAAGGATAAATCTTTTATAAAGTAAATGTGAGCCTCTCCTCAAATATAAAGGGGAGGGTGTCAAATATCTGATTTAACTCATGAAATGCTGAACGAACCAGTAATGTGCCCTGCCTGGGTCAAAGGAGAAATCCAAGACACACAAACACAGCCACGTGCAATGAGGTTCCCGGGGATGGATGACCCGTGGCTGTGGGACGCTCATTTCGTGGAGCAGAACCTATCGCCGTGCCCTGGACACAATTCACGTGCATTTCCACGTGATACTGTTCTAATTGGCTATTAATAACAGGAAAGGAGCCAAGGGAAGGCCAGACCTTATAGGCATGTCATTTGGGCAGCCACTGGTCTATTCTTCACAGATTGCGGGGGGAAGGGACTGGACAGGGGGGAGATAGACGCATGCCCAGTAAAGCTGGGGGGGGGAGGGGAAGGACTAGGGAAGGCGCTTGCCTGTCGGTCACACCTGCGAACAGGTCATGGGCCAAAATGGGCGTGGCCACTACAAGGGAGCAAACTTCGGGGTACTTGACTCCCTGAACAAAGGAGCTCGCTCTCTCGGTGTCTCTTGGTTGACTCCAGGCTGGCGGGGCTCTCACGCTCCTGCTCCCTGCATTCACCCAGGTGGCCCACAGCCGTGGGGACCCCACACACAATAGACTGGTGGACTGGAACTAGCCTGATGCCAATCTGGACCCGGCTGCAACGTGGAACGGAGACCCTGGGCACAGGCTTTGCTTCTAGCTCTGCTGAACCCCCAGCTGCACGTCTTCCAGGCTGGGATTAAGGGAAATGGGACTTTGGAATCCCAGGGATGTAATTCCACGGAAATAAAAATCACTCGGCCTCCTGTGCGAGTCTCAGAAAATTATTTTTCTCAACATATCGTAAGGACACCACCCCAGCACCCAGTGGGAAAGATGATAGCCCAGTTTCCCCTATAACAGACAAGAGCCACCTAGTTACTGTCTGCTTCCTGCCACTTACAGAGCAAAAAAGCAGCTCAAAGACAACAAGCAGCGAAGATAACCCAGAGCGTGTGACAGAACCTCCAGTGATCTCATTTTGCCCATTTTCAAGTCTTCCACAACTTTTCCTGGCTCTGAAAGTGACATTTTAACATTGGATTTTCAAATGTTGTGGTATATTTGGCCTCGTCTCACTATTGTTTACCATTCCTTCATTCAGCACATCCTCACAAGAGGACCAAAACAGATGACCAAAATTACTGACGTCATTTTTAGTCTGAGTCCATCCACACACGCCTCTGTAGTGACAGAAGAATGCAGCTGTTTGGTTTCAGTGCGGGGTTTGCAAGTGTGAACACAGGCACAGGAGAGAGACGGCCGAGCCACGGCAAACGGCCAAGGCCAGCCCGAGGCCTGATTTTGTACAGCCGGTGAGCTCGGAATCGGTCCTATGTTTTTAAATGGGTGGGAAACAACAACATTTCATGACAGGTGAAAACTATATGAAACTCAAATGTCAGCGTCCAGTAGTTTCCCTGCCACAAACAAGTGCCCCTCAGGTAAAGAACCTCTTGTCTAGCCCGGCCGGTGTGGCTCAGCGGTTGAGTGTTGAGCTATGAACCAGGAGGTCGGGGTTCAACTCCTGGTCAGGGCACATGACCAGGTTGTGGGTTCGATCCCCAGGAGGGGGCGTACAGGAGGCAGTCAATCCATGACTCTCTATTATCACTGATGTTTCTCTTTCTCTCGCCCTTCCTCTCCTGGAAATCAATCAAAACATATTTTTTTTAAATAATAAAAAAAGAACCTCTTGCCGAAAACTTCGCTGGACAATAAGTCACTACCGTGTGTTACGTGGGAGTTGAATCATGCTAAAGGCCCTTGAGTTCGTTGTGCTTTCATTATGTAGAAATAACCAGAAAAAAAGCTTAGATTTCCCCAGGGAATAGCAGACGATCACGCTGGGTTACACAGACACTAAATCGATTACATAAAACTATGCACCAAAGGTAATGCAGTAATGACGTGCTTTGGGGAGGAAGGAAATGTAACGTCTGGGTTGCATTCGTTCATCCATCACAAACGTTTATACTGAGCAACTACTCTGTGCCCAACACCATTCCAGGTTCTGAGGACACCTCAGGGAACAGGGAGAACAGAGCCGAGGCCCCAGGGAGCTTACTTTTGGGGAAGGAGGCAGACTCAGCACGTAAAGGAGTCACTATACAATGTCCCATCACAGGCTGAGATGGGCCAGGGAGCAGGGAAATGGGTAGGAAGGTGATCTGCAGAGGCAAGTCAGGGCGGGCACAGAAAGGTGTATTACTCAGCAGCATGACTCAGGTGACTCAGGGGTCGTTCCATCAGCCATGTGGGTGCGAGCAGAAGCTGGGAGACCCAACAGCAAACTCCTGGACTGATCCAGGTAAGAGATGATGGCAGACTGGCAGTTAGATGGGAAAGAGAGATACTCTGGGGGGATTCTGAAGGCGACAGCTCCACAGATAGCAAGCAGAAATGATTAGAAAGCATGTGATTTCTGTAAAATAGTATAGGAACCTTATTTTTTAACATGTATTCAGAAAGTCATATCAACATTATTTCTAGGGGTTTTGTGGGGTTTATTCATGTTCTTTTTTTTTTTTTTTTCTTATTTCTTACTCTTCTGTCCCAATATTGGTTCAAAACGGTTTTTCAAGTTGTTGATTTCCGTGCAACACCATGTAGGGAACAGCGTTCAACCTTTCGGAGCCTCTACCAATTTGCCAAGAGATCCCACAGCATTATCAACGTCTATGCCTGAACTTTCCCAGCGGTAAATGTTACCATCACCACTGCTCACCCCCTCGGCCTACAGATTAAGAAGAAAAGCACACTGAGGCTTCATGAACCTTGAAAGAGATACAAATTGTACTCACCTGCAAAGATATCCAGCGACAGTAACATCCAAAGGAGATACATTTTGATTAACATGTGAGATTCCTTCCCAAGCATTCAGACTAAGAACCACCCTTAAATTATGTCAGCCTTGTAGCATGTTCCCAAGTTTCTGTTGCAATGAGCTGGGGTTATTGATTCATTGTTGCTCACAGGCCAAAGGAACTGACTTATTTTCTTGTGAAATTCGGTCTCAAGTGTCAGCCTTGATGATTCAATTACAAATAGAGTTTAACAAGCTGCAGCCCGAGAGCTTCGATGTTTCTTAATTGGGGTATTTTAAAAGTAGCTCATCAGGAGCTAAAGGTGTAATGGGAGAGACAGAAACCCAGGCAGGTATTAACAATAAATAAATAAAATTAGTACACGTGAACCTCTTCCATTAAAACTTCAAGTGTGTAAAAAAGAATTAATTTACTGATTGGATAAGAAGAAGGGGGTGATTAAATGAGAAATGATACTGATACTACAAATTATTATTTATGTAATACCCAACTAAGACAAAACTGGACAAAAACACTACTTATGAAATTTAGTCAGCTTTATGGCAAAAATTATATATATATATAGTGTCCCAAAAAATGTACACACACACTTTGAATAATTATAAAGTCAGTGTTTATTAAAATACATTTAATTTTCAGAATTGAGCCATCAGCTGTTACAGTGTGTACATTTTGGGGACACGCTGTGTAGCACGCCAACGTCAATTTTCTGCTTTGATGTTGTTCTACAAAAGCACGAAGTGTAACGTTGGTGGGAGCTGGGCTGAGCACGCCTGGGATTTCTCTGTGCGACCTCTGCAACTTCCTGTGACCCTATAATTATTCCACAATTAAAAGTCTTTAAGAAGCACTGACACAGTTACAGGGCACGTACCTTAGAGCATTGCTTGTGATTCTGACACCAGACCAGGGAACCGTTGTTCTGCAAAGAGAAAAAGAAATGTTGACAAGTTAAATGATGTTCTAGTGGAAACTGCAAACACGTCCATGTGTGCGAATAGACTCTTTAAAACTTGCATTAACAAAAGGCCGGTGCAGCCATCCTGAGAGGTTCCTCTCTTCCTAAAACAGAAACTGTGTTGTCAGTGTCAGTCCAATGTGCCCTGGACTCTGTGACGTAAGCAGAGATTTCGGAAATGGTGGCGATTCCGAGCGCTGCGGGGAGCGTGAGCCACCTCCCGCGGGGCGCTGAGCGGTGCAGGCAGAACAAACGCACGAACCGCATTAGAACAAAGGCTCCTCATCCCCGGCAGAATTTCCGCCTATACTTCTTGCGCCCCGTGATTAAGATTTCGGCCACAGTTTCCCTTTGGTTGTGACACTTTACATCAGGTTATGCGAGGCTGGGGTAGTTGGTAGAGACGGAGCTGTCACCCAGTAATTAAGATGCCGTGACCTCCAGGTCTCTGAAGTTCAAGGTTGGCAATGAGACCCAGGAGCCTGTTTCCTGTTTGAACCTCTCAACTTTTCATTTTTAAGAACATCAGTATTGATGTTTGTTTGCAATTACAATTCTGCATATTCCCAGAGGTCTGGAGACCATCCGCAGGGGACAGTCTTGGGGGAACAGGTGAGAGTTGGGGGACAGCCCTGCATATTCTCAGTGGCCTGGAGATAATCTTGGGGGACAGGTGAGAGTTGGGGGGCAGCCCTGCATATCGTCAGTTCAGGAGGGAGGGATCACAATGATGGGCTGGCCCAGAGGATGGGAGAGGAGATTAGGTAAACAGATGGAATGCAGATTACAGGGGATTTAGACTTATCACTGGAAATAATTTTTTTTAGTGGATGTCACAGGGTTAAAAAAAAAAAAAAAAAGGATTACAGCTGTGAGAAGTTGGGTGCAGGGCACACCCTGATTGACTCCCTTTTGTCCCGTCTGAGTGCAGGTAAATGGCCAAAACCCCACAACAGAAACGGGAAAGAAGCCAGCAGTGAGGACTGCCTTCAGGGTCCTGGAAATGCAAACCTGATCGCAGACCACCGGTCCCAGGGGGAAAGAAGCGCGGGCTCCCTCTCCCTGGCTCGAGGCCTCCCACCACGAGCAGGGAACCCGCAGCCACAGGGCCTGCTACAGGGGCTGACGCTTTACTGAGAATTAATATCGAGGCATTTCCTCAAGCAGAGCATTTTCATTTTCAGCAAAATGTCCCACTAATCATAAAACAGAAAGCTCTGTCATTAAGAGAGAAATATTTGGGGCAACAGGAACCATGAAAGGCGATTATGATTGTAATGGTCTGTTTTTACTTATTACTGGAGACAGCATGTCAGGGGCCGCTGGGGAGACTGAAGATAATCTGTGTAAAGTATTTAGCACAATACAGAGGTAGATGTCGGGGGGCTGGGGGGCCCATTGTTATATTACTGATGTTCCTTTGTTGGTTTGCAGTTAGTGCCGTCTTTTAACAGTGGGGACTAATCCTGGACGTGAAATCTCCCAGCTTTTATGTGTAAGGCTCATCGGACTCTAACTAATCACGTTAGTGACGCTCAGGAGGGGGCCCTTCGTGTTTTGCTCCCTGGGTGGCGGCAATCTTCCCGTGTTTGCTGATAGGACAGGGGGCAATGCAGTGTTTAACTTGAATTTCCGTCGACTGGCTGCTGCACTTCCTTTCTGCGGGCCGTCTGGGAATTTCGCCGTTTCTATTCTAGATGATTTACCTTTTGTCGTCCACGGTAGTGGAGACTAGCAGTTAGATTTAACAATCTGTCTGTCATACATGCTGTAAAGCTTCTCACGTGCATCGTTTGTCCTTTAAACGTATTCGTGGTTTTCCATGCACAAATTTCCTACGTGCACACACACAGATACACACACATTCCCCCCAAAATCTGCCTGTTTCCTCTTTGTGTCTGAGGGCTCCTGTTTCTCTTACGACAGCCCCGCCCCCGCCAAGCCCTGGCAGCTCTTCATGCCTTTTCCTTCATCACTCAGCGTCCCCCAAACTCTTTACCTCCACAGAGCGCTTCTAAGGATGCCTGCTTAATGCCAGCAAGGATGCGGGTAAGCCCCGATTACCGGCTGCTGTGCTCGGCCAGGTGCGCACCCGCCCCGCACCTGCACCTGCGCGGCTCGCCCGGCCGCTCGCTGCAGGTGAGCGACGGGAAAACACAGAAACCACCGCCTTTCAACACCCGCCCCGGGCGAGTTCTCAGTCACCTAAATAGCTTCACCAGCTAAGCTGCTTGACAAGGAAAATAAAACACAGTATTTGCGTAAAGTCTTGTTCTGGCTTCGAGCCAGCGAAATAAAGAGGCCGGGGGCGTAAGGCAGGAAGGAAAGAAAGGTGGTGGTCCCCGGAGTTAGCGCGGGGCCTGCGGGAGGGTCGGGCAGGGGACTGCGCGAGGCACATGCCCACGGCCAGGCAACATCCTGGGTTTTACCGGCTTCACGAGATCAGACGCCAACTCCAGGCAAGCCAACTTTCAAAGAGTTTACAGAGGGTCAACCACCTGCCCCCAGCCGTCGTTTCCGTGACATGTTCAGCGTTCCTCCATTCCGAGCCTTTTGATTTTTTTTTCCCCCTTAAAGCAAAAATAATTCTTCAAAAGCTTCAAGTAAAGAAAACAGTTCATTCCGTCAAAGACAAGCCACAGGGAGGGGATGCAGAGAAATGAAAACTGGAGATGTGGACACGACCGTTCGGAAGGAGACGGGAACTACCGCAGATCCGACCGCGCTGTTTGAACTTCACCAGGTGGAGGTGCGGGGGACACACCCAGGGTCGCCCAGCGCAGGACAGAGCACCCGGGCCTGACACCGCCCGGGACACCTACGACAGACTGACTTTACCATCCACCCCGGGGAGCCAGAAATAACCGGCCGTTCCTCTCAGCTGACCAGTTTGTTTTCACGTTACATGTAAGTTTTTAAAAATGAGAGCAGGGCCGTAGCCAGTTTGGCTCCATGGTCAGAGCTTGGGCCCACGCACTGAAGGGTCCTGGGTTCAATTCCGGGAAAGGGCACGTTCCTCAGTCGCAGGCTCGATTCCCTGACCCCGGGTTGGGGCAAATGCGGGAGGCAACCAATCGATGTGTCCGTCTGTCTCACATTGATGTTTCTCTCCCTCTCTCTGCCTCCCCTCCATTCTCTCTGAAAAGCAATGGGAAAAACATCCCCCCATGAGGATTTAAAAATAAGAGCAGGGACTAAAATTTGAATTAATTCACTTTAATCCAGAATATTTTCCTATTATGTTGGAACCATGGAAACATATATTTGATTTTTTTAAAAATTGATTTCAGAGAGAGGAACAGAGAGGGAGAGAGAGAAACATCAATGATGAGAGAGTCATGGATCAGCCGCCTCCTGCACGCCCCCGACTGGGGATCGAGCCTGCAACCTGGGCCTGTGCCCTGACCGGGAATCGAACCCTGACCTCCTGGTTCATAGGCCGATGCTCAACCGCTGAGCCACATGCTGTATGATTCCAACTCTATGACATTCTGGGAAAGGTAAAAGCATGGGGACAGTGGTAAGAAGATCAGTGGTTGGCAAGGGTGGGGTGGAGGGGTGAGGAGGGGAGCGCAGAGCGTGTTTAGGGCAGTGGATCTACTCCGTCTGACACTCTCATGGTGGATACGTGTCAGGACACATTTTCCCAGACCCACAGGCTGGGCACCAACAAGGGCGACGTGGGCTGCGGGCGATGCTGCTGGCCCGTGCAGGTTCATCCACGGTGAGAAATGCGCCAGTCCCGTGGGGGTGCTGACGCGGGGAGGCTGTGCAGCGGGGGGACAGGGCGCATATGGGAAATCTGCTCAGCTCCGCTGCGAACCTAAAACTGCTCTAAAACATAAAGTTGACTTAAAATGGGAAACTGTTATTTTTTGGTCATGAGTAAGATTTCTTTTGAATGTTATGAATCATTCTCAAATAAATGGCCTTTTCATTCCTATCAAAAAAAACAAAACAAAACCGTCTGAATTCCACAAACAGGTCGGACCGAATGCTCTAGGAAGACAGTTTAGCCGGCACAAATCCACCTTTCCCCCGAGCCCTGGGATGCAGGCCCCGGACACCTGCATGGGCTCCAGTTCTCTACACCCGGCAGCTCGCGTGGGAATGAGAACCGTGGCCAGTGCTGTCCTTGCACCCAGCACTTGTCCCTCCACCAACTCAACTCCATTGCAAAGGCCCCTTCCTCCAGGAAGCCCTCCCTGACTGCTGCGCCCTGACTACAGCAAGTCCCCCTGCTGCACACACTCTTGTAGCTCCATGGACCTCTCTTCCAAAGCATCCTGTCACCGCTGACAAGCAATAACGTATTTCTGCTGTTTTTACTTCATGATCCTCTGTCTCCTAGCCCGGGACCACCTTTAACACAGACTCTACCTGCACTTCTCTTGCTCCACACTGGCTCCCCCTTGAACTTAACAAATCCTGTTGATTTAAAAATAAATAGATAAATGGAATAGGGATTCACACAGAGGAATTTAAACGTTAATCATTAGCTCATGAGAAACTGGAAAGAATGAAATAGATAGATTGAGCTGACCAAACTTTCCACCTTCTCTAGGTGGAGCTTCTTGGAAGTCAGATTCATTATTTTTTTTTTTTTTTAAATCCTCACCTGCATCAGATGCTTGTTTTTCAGAGAGTGGAAGGGAGGGAAAGGGAAACATCGATGTCGCGTTGGTTGCCTCCCACAGGAGGCGCCGGGATCGAGCCTGTAACTGAGGTACGTGCCCTTGGCCAGAACCGAACCTGGGGCGCTTCAGCCTGGGGGCCGAGACTCTAATCGCTGAGCCAAACTGGCCAGGGCTGGGGTTCATTATTTTGTTTCCTACAGAGTAAATGTCCAAGAGACCATATTCAAACAGCAAAAACGTGCATTCTGAGCTGAATACAAATTATTTCAGAAATAACCATGCTAATTATGTTTTATAGATGTATATCGTTAAAGTCGCCAAAATAAAATCTACAGAACCAGAATGTGTCAGCCTGCAGCATATGGGAAAACATTGCATTTCACTATGAATTTTGACAAGGAATATTCTGACATGTTCTATTTGTGGAGAAGCATTAGACAAGGACAGTATTTTTACCACCTGCTGTCTCTGTTAGAATGAGGGGACCCACCACAGAATCGGAAATATTGGCTTCTCGTAGGACACCTCAAGGAATAGCCTTCCAACTTTAGTCTCCTCCAAGGGGGGATGCCAATTATTCATTCATTCCTGCCACCGCTGTGAGTTCAGATATGTATTCTCTCAGTCACCGTTGGTATTAAAATTTATATTAGCAGGAGAAAATGCTAGTAAATCACGCCCTCACCACATAGAGAATCAATGGCTTGTGCCCAGAGAAATCCCACCTTAAGTAGGCTTAGATCATTAAACATAATAACTGAAGTTTCACACATGACTCAGATTACAAAGTGAAGGAAGCATGAACAATAGGGCGGCCGCTGTGAACCAAACAACTCAAGCATTGTTCCCGGGGGACCTGGAAAAGGGAGAGAGGCCTCCAGAGAAAGTGTGGATGGGCGCTGATGCTAAGGGCAGGCGTGCTCGGGCACCCCTCGGAGCTCCCCTCACTCGCGAATGAGGCGGATCCTCAGTTCCCCGCAGGCCCCTTGTCCTGGACCGAGGCGTCTGGGATGTGTTACAACATCACTTCAGGCTGATACATCTTCCCTGAAAGCAAGAGCTGTTTCTCTGGAGGCTGCCCACCAAAGAACACGTTGTTTCAATAGGTTCCAACTTGTCTTGGTGCTGTTTCCATCTGGGCTTTTAGAGGCAACTTCAGCGGGACGCTGTGTACCAACCAGTGGAAATATGTTCTTAAAAAACCACGTCAGCGCCATCCCAGAGTTCCCGTGAAGGATTAAAGCCGTTATCACAGCAGAGGAAAATGCATGCGCCACACGGAAAATCTTAGAAACATAACGCGACACTAGGTTTAACGGCACCCCGGGCTGTCACTCTCTGGAAACGCTACCAAGTCCCGCAGATTCACAGCCCGCCACGTACACTTTAAGTGGCGTTTAATGGCCAGCGGGGTTTAGGAGCCTCCTTAGGTCTCCTCTTCCCGTCACTGTTGTCATTGCTATTTTGTTTCCAGTATAGGATGTTTTATACATGAACAAACGAGAAAACCAATCCAGAGAAAGCTTAGCGAAAACTAAGTGTAGGCCCGGCCGGCGTGGCTCAGTGGTTGAGCGTCGACCTCGAACCAGGAGGTTGCGGTTCGATTCCCCGTCGGGGCTCATGCCCGGGCTGCGGGCTCCATCCCCAGTCGGGGGCAGACTATCAGTGACTCTCTCTCATCATTGATGTTTCTCTCTCTCCCCCCTCCCTTCCTCTCCCTGATAAATCAATTTTAAAAAACATATTTTTTTTAAAAAACAACTAAATGCAGATAGAGCCAGCCAGTGCAACAAAAACTTCACAAGATGTTTTACTACCTAGAGATTCAACCTTGTCCTTCCCGCGAAGGGTGATGTACTAACGCTGCTCCTAGGCATAAGCAATTAAAAATATTTTCTCTATCACATCAAAATGTATTGAGGGCTCTTAGAATCCTCGCTTCTCCACAGTTAATCTCAGGAGCCACGCGGGACCCCAAATCCCTCCGCTACCTTCTTCTAAATTACCCTCAGCCACCTTCTGTGCAAACTGTTTGCATCAGGGCGCAGTTCTGCCGGCCCCGGCCCGTGACCTGGGAAAGTGTAAGCTGTATTCGAATGAGGTCAGGCCTGTTCTCTGCAACCAGGACAAGCGGGGGAGCCACGGCGAGACTG